AGCTTACCTTTCTCAAGTGACAGCAGTCTTCAAGGCCAGATGGTGATCATTGCTCGGTCTGCAAATGATACTCAAGTAATTTTTGATTAAAGTTTTCTAAAGTTATTTGTAAAGTGTGGAGGAAAGATCACATTGTAGTCTTAATGTATTTATCTTAATTAAAAAAAACACATTTCTGACTTACTAGGTTCTGGAAATTCACATGTTCAGTAAACTGTTGCAATAACCTCGTTTATCTGTGTTACTCCAATAACTTTTCAGAGCTGTGAAATTTGCCAAGAGCAATTTGAACAGTACTGGGATGAGGAAGAGGAGGAGTGGCATCTGAAGAATGCTATCAGAGTAGATGAAAAGGTAATCTGATTTTATTTACACATGATACATATAGTAAAAAACCCCGAAGAATTATAGCAAAAGAAAATGGGAGGGACAAGTGCTCTTTTCTCCCTGAAGGATTCCCATGGTAGCTTTCCTGGCTTCCAAGTACAGAAGTACGTCCACTTTTGGAAGTGCTCGAAGTCCTGTTAGCATTAGGATAGGCTCACTAGCCTTCCCTTGTACCGCAGTGCGAAAAGAAAAATGAATGTCTCTATATGCGGGTGTAGATACTGGTTTAATTATTTCTGTATGCAGCTGTACACAAGTAATTCCCAACATTTACCAGGCTTCTGTATGATAACTTTTCCTATATAAACATACACAAAATGTTTTCCCAGTTATATTTGACACCATACTTGGCCTGCTTATACTGTTGGGGTTTTTTTAGTCAAATTGGGTGGTATGTGTGATTGACACTGTTCTGTTCATAACCCGTGATCCTCCTATAATTTATGTATTTAAATGTATAACAATTCTTTTTCAGATTTACCATCCATCTTGCTACGAAGATTACCAAAACGTAAGTGAATCCTTCTTTGTATTTTTTGAAGCGTTTTGCTTTCAGTCTGTTTTCTTGGGTCTCTGACTTTGCAGGGAGCAGATGTGTTCAGAACGTGCTACCCGTTTCTCTTGCCTCAGGCTCGAAGACCTTGGGCATGGCAAGTTCAGAATACAGAATTAGCTAAGATGTATTTCTTCTTGTGATGTACTGCGATGGCTGTGTGTCATACATGACTACAGGGAAACCTTGGTTTGCAAACACGTATGCATGCATTGTTGAGCAAGATGTGTACTCGTAGGAATTTGCAAAAATGGAGTGATGGGTGTTGGTGCGTTACTCTTCTAATGCTTTGGGAGTTACAGTTCCCCTGGGGGTAGCAGGGAATGATTCATGGTAATGTGTTAGGCATTTCATCGCTGCTTGGATGATACCTTTTCAAAGTAATGGTGAAAAAGTAATGCTATTGAAAAATAAATTTGTTTTCTTAGGATCTTGGTATAGTAGTGGTTTGGATTTTGAGAAAGACTAAAAGGGATAAGAAGCTAAAAATGGTTATTTTAATGTGTGTTAACGCTACATTGGCTTTCACTTTGCAGACAACATCATTTGATTGCACACCATCTCCCAGCAAGACTCCTGTAGAAAATCCACTAAATATAATGTTGAACATTGTTAAACAAGAGACACAAGAGTCCTGTGACTCACCTAAAGTCAAGGAAGAACCTGATGACACCCCTACTGCCTGTGCAGAAGAGAGCACACCTGCATCTACAGACATAAAAACAGAACCTGATGAGTCTGTTTAAAGAAACTGAGGTATGAATTTTTTTTTTTTACAGAAGAGCTGCTGTGTTAACTCTGGAAGGCAAATACTTTTTATATGAAATAAAAATGTTCAACTGAGGCAGGGCCTCAACTACTGTTTGGTTAATAAATACATTTTTGTATTTGAATTTCTTATTGCCTGCACAGTTTCAGGTGTCATTGTGTGAAAGTTCTGTAGATGCGTGAGAATTTAATGGAATGAAACGGTATATGTAAAAATGTACATTTTTCACTTGTGGAAATGTAAATTATAAATAAAAGATATTTTTGCTATATATGGAGTGTAATTTATGCACACCATCAAATGAAGACAGTGTTTCTGTACTTTTTTCAGTTTAAATTGAATTAAAAAGAGTTTTTGCTCAATAAGATTCAGAAAAATGACAGCAAATAACTTCAGTTATCCCATAGGTGCGTTATCAAGGGAAGCAGTGCAGGAACTTCTCAGACAGACAACCCTAGATTTCTTTTCTTCTTAAAATTATTTGAACAAACTTACATATCCAGATATTAAAAAAAAACAAAAAAAACACCAAAAAACCCACAAAAAACCACAAAACAACAAACAAAAAAACCACAAACAAACAAAAAAAACCCAAAAGACAGTTCACAAAAAAAACCCAAAAGACAGTTGTGGGTAGAAGGGGAAAACTTAACAAAAAAACCGGAGTGCTAGAGCGTCAACACAAGTGCCAACAAACAATTAACAAACCAGGATGCCTGGTAGTTAAGACATTTTTTAATGAGATTTTTTTTTTTCCATTAGTCAAACACATAAGAATTTAATACAGCTGAACAAACTTTTCTTTACATTACAGGGGGGAATGAATGTAAGAATGCTCACTTGAAACATGATTAACTTTTTTTTTTTGTTGCTTATGGCTGGACTTAGATGGTAAACCAGATATCCTAAGATGTTAATATTTCTTAAATGTAATATATAAAATTAAGCATATATTTAAGCGTGAGTCTTTTCCTTTCAGTAATGGGTTTGCGTGGCCGGCATGTCTGCGGGATTGGGAAGAAAGGATACAGGCGTGTGTATTGAGTAATGCAGTTGTGTGTATGCTGAAAGCTGCTGGGAGCAAGACAGGCGCGCTGGAAGTGGGAGAGCAGTGTCACCGTCCTGGCGTGCTGGCCTTGCAGCGGGGATGTGGGGAGAGGGGAATTCGCCCTTAGTGTGCGACAGGAGTAGCCACACTCGGCTGGGAGGGTTGCCGGGCTGCGAGCAGCTGCTACCAGGCGAGTTGATGCCTGGACTCTCCTGCTCGGGTTGTAGCTCCCGCTGGCAGCGTGCCCCGCTCCAGATGCCAGCCTCTAAAAATCCTTTCCATGAGAGAAAGCGCAGAGGAGCAGAAGCACTGGTGGGGCCGCGGAGGGGACTGCTGCTGCCCTCGGTGTCCTGGCATGCTGCGAGCAGAGCGGCAGCAGCGACGGGATGTCCTTAGGTACGCAGAAGGCTGTTAGGAAAAGGGACAGAACAAGAGAGACCTGCGAGTTGCGACAGGAGGGTTTATGGAG